CAATAAGAAGAGGCTTTATATATTAAAATTTTTATTTTTTATTTAATGATAAATATTATATTATTTAATATGATTTAAGTAATATAATAATTTTTTAATAAAATATTTAATTCCAACACTATGGCTAGACATTTACTTTGCATTGTTATGGGTTTTATATATGGTTGTCTTATATTTTTCCTTGATGCCCTTATGAATATTATTGCTTTAAAAAATCTACCATAGGCAATGTATTCAACCAGTGTCACGCACTTGATTCATTGGTTTTTTTTTTTTTTTTGAACAATTGTCATGGGACCGAATTAAACCATTAACCGAGGAGAGAGAAGGATGAACCTTTATAAGAGTAGTGGATGCCACTCAACCCTATGAACCAAGTTCTAATCCATTGGCATTTGGCAAAGGAATGGTAATATTCTTGGATGTATATTTTTATATACATTACAAATTGAACCATGATCTCTAAAATTTTAACCAATATGTAGACTTTATTGAAATAATATTTTTTTAAGATACTTGAGTAATAAAAGAGAGAATGTTATTTCATTTTCCTTCATTTATCTCCTTTCCAATCCTTTCAACCTAAATATATTATTAATAAGAGAGGAAGAGTCCCATTACATGATTAAACCGAAGAAATTACTTTTTAATCATCCTTTTTCCCATGAGATAAGGGTAAAAACATTCACATATATGGCACTGGGCCACTGGGGCCATGGTGGGGATTGTGCCTTTACTAATTCAAAACCGCGGATGAGATCTTATTCTAGTGCTTGAATTGAGTAACTTGAAACTCAAGTTCTTTTTAAAAGGCATTTATTTATTGATCATGGATGGACCAGTCTCAACCTAGACTGGTCTTAATCGAATTTCAATGGTTTTATTTTAGTTATTATTGGCTACAAAACGAAGGAAGAAAGGTTTAATACCTAGGTAAGAGGATGTTTTAAGAATAGAACTCTAGTAGTATTTTTTTTTTTTTACCCTAAATACTAAAGATTTAGATCATTTTTATGTTTAAAATTACAAAAAAATTAATTTATCCAATAAAATTATATAAAAAAAATACTATAACAAGAACATTAATTTATAAAACTTTTAAAAAATAAAAATGTAAGTCAAGTAAATTACTAATCTATCCATTTTAAAATATCATATATGTTTTTATTTAAAATTTATGTCATAATAATAGTTAATTTTATATTTTCAGAGAAATTTTTTTTATTGTAATAATATTATTATCTCTTTATTTTAATTATTCATCATATTATGATTTAAATCTTATTATTTTAATTTTTTTTAAATAATAT